TTATTTCTTTTCAAAATTATATTTGCTATTCTCGGTCCCTTACTCTTCATATAAATTTTAGTATCAGATGATCAAATTACACAGGAAACATTTCACTTGGATTTGTTTAACATTATATTTATAAAGAGTTGTAAAAGACACCTTCTTAAATTAAAAAGCTCATAAATGACTTTCTTAAATGACTGGTATAGTTTGTGATCTACAGAGGTCTTTTTAAATTTAAATCTTCAATAAAATTTTGTATTTTTATCTTTAAAGATCTTACGTAGTTTTACTTGGATGAACCCACAGGTAGCTTTGATTGCTATTATAAATGAATTTTTCTTTACATTTTCTAATTGGTTACTGCTTATGAATGGGAATGCTATTGAAATTAGTTTTGATCTTGGATCCAGCAACTTGACTAACCCCTCTTATTAAACATTTTTATATTCTCTATATATCTAGTCATATTATCTGGAAATAATTACAACTTTGTTTCTTTTACTGCAATCATGACACTTTTATTTATCCTTTTATTTTTTATTTTGTCTTATTACATTGGCTAGACCCTCCAGTACAATGTTGAATAGAGATAGTTCTAATGAATATTCCTGTGGATTTTTTTAAGAGATAGGATCTTGTTCCATTGCCCAGGCTAGTCTCAAACTCCTGGGCTCAGGTGATCCTCCTGCCTCAGACTCCCAAGTAGCTAAGACAACAGGTACACACCACTGTCCTGGTTTATTTATTTATTTTTTTTCTGGCTTTAATATGATGCTTCTGAAACTTTACTATTATTTATTATTTAGCTGCAGGTCTGTTATAGCTCTCCATTGTCAGATTAAAGTTTTCTTTGATTCCTGGTTTGCAACTTAAAGAAAGTCATGAATAGGTGTTAAATTTTGTAAAATGCTCTATCTGCTTCTTTTTATTGGTAAAACTTTCTAAGAAAATAACTTGTGCTCTCCAGTAGTTGCTTGTAGGGTTCTATGTCTCAAGCTTGTTAATTATGTTGTTCATATCTTTTATAACCTTATACATTTCTCTCAGCTTGATCTACCAGTTCCTCTTCATGGTATGATACAGCTTCCCATTCCTCCTTATAATTCTGTCCATTTTTCCCTTATGTAGTTTTTGGGTATAATTCTGAGCTAGGGATCCCCATTCTGCCTTCAAAATCTTTTATTTATCACATTAGAGGATTCCCCTTTCTTTCATGTAGGCTAGCAAAATTGTTTTATTTTAATTGTGTACAATATGTCTGTGTTCACATGGTCAAAGGGAATCCTTACCAGCTTGTGGTTTCACTTGCCTGAGTTTGAAATTCTAGGCCTGATCTTTTCCTCTTCTAATCTGTTGCCACCAAGCACTGGCACAGGGCAGCTTCCATCTGTGATACCCAGGAGAGGCAAGGCCACAGCCCCACCCTCACTCCCTTTCTTGCCTCAGCAGTCCAGGAGCTCTCAAGGGCCCACTTCTGACCTATCTGAGAGGGGCACTGAGGCTGGGTCAGGTTGAGCATATTGTGGGGTTTTCTAGGCATTCATAGAGTTACCCAAATGGATGTAAGGAAGGTCTGATCTGGCCAGGAGAGCTTCTGTCTCTTGGCTTTTCTTCCCATACTGTTCCACATAAGTAAGATCACTGATCTCCTCTACCCGTGGGATCAGTTCTGTCCAAGCTTCTACGCCAGTCCTCATGAGGCAGGCAGTCCATCATCCATACTTCACTCACCCACCAATCCTCTCATCCATCCACCTATCCATCCATCCATTCCTCCATTCATCTATCCATCCATCCATCTATTCATCCATCCAACCAACCACTCATCCATCTATCCATCCATCCCTCCATTCCTCCATCCATCCATCCATCCATCTACCCACCTATCTATCCACCCATTTATCCATCTACCCAACCACTCATTCATCTATCCATCCATCCCTCCATTCATCTATCCATCCATCCCTCCATTCATCTATCCATCCATCCCTCTAACCATCCATCCATACATCCAGGCATCCATCCACTCATTCATCCATTCATCTACCCATCCATCCATCCATCAATTCATCCATCCATCCATCTGTCCATCCATCCAGCAGCAGTGTCATACAAACCTTACAAGTTGTGTGACCTTGGGCAACTTGAACTTCGGTTCTCTCATCCATAAAATGAGTATAATAATGGAAATGACCTTATAGGTCAGTTATGAGTATCAAATTAAACAATATTTATGAAGCACTGATTGACATGCACTAGCACTCTGGAAATATTAGCGTATTATCTTCATCACACACTCACTGATTCCTTCAACTAACATTTTCCTGGGTACCTACTATGCACTAAGCACTGGAGATACGAGACAAAGTCGCTGTTCTCCGAGAGCCCACTGTGTGGCGGGAGGGTCAGGTGGGCATCAGGAGAGAGAATATCATTAAACTAATACAGATGGTCCTTGACTTACAATGGGGTTATGTCCCAGTAAAACCATTGTAATTTGGAAAAATTCTAAGTCAGAAATGCCCAATAAACCCATTGTAAAGGCAAAAGTCCTCAATAGAACCATCTGTAGTCATACTAACATTGTGCTTGGTATGTACTACCTGAAGTTGGGAGAGAACACTTTGAGAGCACCAAGGAGTGGGGAATTGGGGAGTCAGGGAAGGCTTCCTGGAAGAAGTGGCATTAGGGCCTACTCCTGAAGAATGAGCAGAAATTCGAAAGAGGCACCGCATTCCAAGCTGACAGAGAAGCACAGGCAAAACTCCTGACCTCAGGTGATCTGCCCTCCTTGGCCTCTCAAACTGTTGGGATTACAGTCGTGAGCCACCGTGCCCGGCCCATTTGTTTATAATTTGATGGGAACTAAAACCATTAAACCTGGCCTCTGACAACTATGCCCCTCCATTTTTTTTTTTCTTTAAAAAGACACATCTTGCTTTAAGCAAAAACAGCAAAATAGAATTGAAAAAACTCCAGACATCATTTCACTTCTCTGGGCTCGGGTTACTGAGCATCCGATGTCCTGGGTATCAGGCCAGACACTGAATTAGGATAATCTCAAGCTGGTGAAAGCTCATCATTGACTAGATGGCCCTGGGCTGATGACGTCCTGCGCACTGCCCCCCAGGGAAACTAGTCTCAGTGGGAAGAGACAAGCAAATAGGTGCAGGGATGTGCTGTAAACGCTGAGGTTGCTACGAGCGTGGATTTCTGCGTAAGAGGAAGGGAACACTTAGAGGGTGACAAAGAAAGGCTTGAAAAATGGCATCAAGGCTTCCTGTCACCCTGTGAAGTAAAAAGAGGGGACAACCTGGGGGGTTAAGGATGAGAATACGATTGTTTACCATGGAGTGGGCCCCTCCTCTTAGACTGGAATGCTTTACTAACACCGATGTGCACAGGAATCACTGCAGCATGTTAAAATGCGGATTCTCCTTCGGTAGGACTGAGCGAGGGGCTCAGATTCTAGATTTCTAACAAGCTCCCAGACGTGGTTCGTGCTGTCAGCCAGGGTTGGGTGGAAAGCGATGGAGGCGGCGGTGAGTGGGGAGAGGCAGCAGGAGGAAGCAGGTGCAGTGACAGGCTCAGTGCGCTGGCATTCAGGACAGCACAGTGGGAACACAGGTGAAATGCAGGAAGGGGCTGTGCCGTCTCCCCCATTTTGAACTGTGAGCGTCTATGGCAGGGACTGACTCTTGACCATCTCTCTGTCCTTGACTGTGCCCAGGAAATCTCAGTGAACACTCCAGAGGTTCAGTCTCTCCTCAGACAGTAACACTGGCCTTCCAGGACAAGCCTGGAGGGTGAATCTTCCCTGATAGACATTCTCCTCTTCCACCAAACCGGGGCCTACAGGCCCCAATTCCACCCTGATCTTGGCACCCATGGGAAACTCCATGTTCTGGACAAACACACAATCTTATTCTGGCCAGAGCTTGCTCCCAGCCCCCCAGCCCTCTGTTGCTTTGTCCAGAGATAGACACACGAGAGAGGCGTGGTCCAAGGAGTGCTGTTTTACTCACAGCCCTGCAACCAGTGGAGGCAGAGCTGTTACCCACTGCTGCCCGTCGGTGCCTCCTACCTGCTGGCATCGTCTCCTCCGTAAGCCTGAGAGGACCTCCCTCTCCGGCTAAACGACACTTCTGTGCGGAGAGGCCAGCTGTCCTTTCTAGTCATAAAGGCTGTGCTTTATGCTGAGACTGTCATTCCTTTTTTTTAAGATGTTAGATCCCCTTTCTTGTATGAAATGACAGCAGACAATTGTTTGTGCTGATTGAGAATGACTTTGACAAAATAAGGAGTTGGAAACCATGTTAATCTCCAGTGCCCTGAGAACTTTCGCTAATGGGTGCATGAAATCCAAGCGCCAGAGATAGCCCCTGGGAATGGTCTCCAGCATTCTCCTCTTCCCTCCCGGCCCCCCACTGCCTTCCTGGGGACAATGACCGGCATTTCTGGGTCTGCCCCTTCTGCAAATCTTTCCTTCTGAATCATCCAAAAACACACCTTTGTGACACAGAGATTGAAGATCTCCTCAACCCATTTAAACGTGTTAAGCTCAAAATAAAATGGTGCAGGTTTTCAGGGTCCAGATGTTCACACACACTTTGCAGTTTCGCTTCAAGTTCATTACATTTAATTTTTTTTCCAAAAAGTTTTGCATTGACAGCTGTACAATACTTTGGTGTTAACCTGTGGTCTTCCTTCCACTCAGTGAACTCTGCCCTGCCCACCTGTCCAGTCCCACCCCTCACCCTTCCTGGCGCTTGGATGGGAGGTGAGGCAGTATGGAACTGTGAAAAACCCCTCCACTGTTGGGTATCTCGGGGGAAGAGGGTGGTCGGGAGCAGCGCAGGGAATGCTGTGAGATGAGCAGAACTTATGTCGATGGACATGGACCCTGGGAAATGGTCCAGGCTCCAGAATGTGAGAGCGACAGCGACCTGGCTGTTTACCTGGGGAGGGGAATGATAAACTGGGAGGAGAGGCAATTAAGACGCAACAATCAAACCAACCTTTAAATAGTAACTTTTAAAAATATAAAAACAGTTCATTACAATGACTTTTCATTCTTTTTTTCTTCAGGAATAACTTTCTTCTACCCTCACCCTCCCTTCTGGCTAGAGCCTTAACAAGAGGTGGGAGGTGGACATCTGAGACCCAGAGACTCCAGATGCCCCACGCGCCCAGCCTCGGAGAGCCACAGGGTGTGGCGCCAGCCTCCACGTCCCATGCCAGTGTGCTCAGCTGGGGACAACCTCACTGAAGGTGGGCGGCTTTCCCTGGAGCCCCTCCCTCCTCCTCAGCAGACGGAATCACACATTACAAAATAATCCATAAAAATGCAGTATAAAAATTATCTTCGATATGCTACATCCATGGAGAGCTCGCCACCAGGACTCACAGTGGCCTTTAGTTTTTCTTCAAAAGAAAAAAACAAAAAAAACAAAAAAAAAACAAAAAAAAAACAAATCCTAACACCTCAGAACATGTTGGTACTAAAACGTGGCACCTGCCAGAGGCGATATTCTACCTGCAACGTGTTTGGGCTCATGAGAAACTGAAATCTGCAAGAAATATCCACAGTGTGCCAGGATCTGTGTCTCCCTCTCCACCCCCCACCCCCCACTGCTCCGCCCAGGGTGGGGGTGAGGGGGATCCTTTTTCCAGACTCACAACCCTGTAGGTTAATTCACTTTCCCCCGCTTCTAAGGGGAGAGGAAAAGGCTGTAGGCAGGAAGGCATTTTATAAAAGGATGTCACTTCTAATTCCTTTTATTCAAATTAAAAAAAAAAAGCACCCACATTAGTTGCTATTTTTCTCTGGTAGCTCCCTGAGCTGAGTTGCTATGCTGTCTGTCCTCTTTCTGTCCTTTTTAGGCCACGGCCCAAGATTCAGAAGGGCTGGAGGGGGAGTTCCTTTGAACTTCCATTGCTCATAACAATAACTAAGTGTGCACCCAAGAGAAAAACCAGGCTGAGGAGGAGAGGGAGAGACCAGGAAAGAGAGATGCAGAGAGGGCAAGAGGAGGCCACAGAAAGCTCGGTTTCTGCGGGTGTCTGCGGGACGGGCGCCCAGCGGAGTGCCTTCCACTTCTTGGTCTGGCCGCTGGTGCTCAGTCCAGATGCCCAAGCCCCTGTGGAGGCAGATGCAGGAACCTTACGGCCAGCCCGGCTGCCTTTCCCACACTGTAAGACTTTCCTCCCCATTCTTCAATTGGCTCCCCTCCCTGTCTTCTCTTCCCAGGTGAGAATATGTTTATTTAAAAAAAAAAAAAAAAAAAAAAAAAGCCACCACCACGAGTGGATTACAAATACAGCAGGCGAAATACACGGTCAGAGTTTCCGGTGGGAAGGGGCCTCCTCTCCCACTGATCAGTCCGCAATAGGAGTCTGTTATTTACACTTTTCACAAATCTTGTGCACTGCACAATCGGCAAAAAGAGATTCCCCCCTCCCCCAGCACAACAATGTGGTCCACTCCAGCATCCCCGACCCAAGGTGGGGGACAGGGCAAAAGAAAGGGGAAGAACAGAGACTCATGAGTGGGTCTGTGGGGAACCAGAGCCATAAGCCTCCAATAAATCTGTGTAGCAATTGCCAGCATTGTTCAGGGGGAGGAGGAGGAGCAGAACCCATCCGAGTCTGTGAGACACATCAATCCAGGCCCAGGAGTCCAGACCGTGACGGGGCACGCGCCCTCTCAGCCGGCCGGAGCGCAGCCCCGAACGCTCGGCTGCCTGCCGCCCATCCTCCGCCATCCTCGGGGCCCCTGGCCCGGGGGTCTCCCTGTCAGAACCGAGTCGGTTTCTCCCAGAGTCTGACAGCCCTGCTGGAGTTCTTGTTTAGTAGATGACCTCATAAACTGTGGCCTTCTTGTCACCAGAGCCTGTTACAATGTATTTGTCATCCGCTGAAATGTCACAACTCAAGACAGACGAGGATTCTTTAGACTGGAGGAGGAAGACGAAGACGAGGAGAAGCAGCAGGAAGGCGTGGGGTGAGGGGAGAAAAAAAGACAGGAATTCGTTTTCCAGTGCTCTTGGAAACAATCGCCCTGCTCTGCCCCTCTCTGACACTCCGACCCGGAGCACAGTGCAGGAGGTCAGGAGACTTTAAACCACCCAGGAAGCATTTTCAGGTAAAAATCCCCTCCCACCTGCTTTTCCATAAGTAAAAGCTCAGCCACAGTCTCCCACGTGATCTTTACAGTCAGTCATAATGGTCAGAACGGGATGCTTTAGCATGAGCCTCTCCTGAGTTTACAAATAGAGAGAGGCATTTCTGAGCTAGAAGCTGGTGTCAACAGCCCAGGCCTGCAGCCTGATGAGTTAGGAAAGGATTGGCACCTGCTGTTTGAAGGATGTGCTCTCACTAGAGACCCTAACAATGAGCTTTGACACACTGGACACCAGACACTTCCGCCTGGGTCCAGAAAGCCACGTGTTGGCTGAGGGAATGAGAGAGACCGCAAGTGTGTGTGTGTGTATGCACATGTGCATGCGTGCACAAGTGTGTGCACACGTGTGTGGGAGACGGAGTGTGCATGAGTAAATGAGTGTGAATGTAAGAACGCACTCGTGTGTGCGCTTATGAGAGTGCAATATGGCAGGCCTCCGATCCTGGTAGATTATAAAAGGCCTCTTCCTTCCCTCCTCTCTTTCCTGCCCACATCCCTGCTCGTGCTGAATGGAGGTGGACACACTCACTCACTCGAGGAGGGAACGCTGCTCTGAGCAAGGCTGCCGGTGTGCCCAGCTGCCCAGTGCACCTCCTGCAAGGGCTCAGCATCCCGCCCAGAACAAAAACAATTAATGTTACTCCTCGCTCTCCAAATCCTATGAGAGCCCCTGCTTAAAAATCCTTGCCCTCAGGGGTCAGAAGCCATTGTGACCTACTGAAGTCCCCAAGTCCTCAGGAGAACCCAGCTTGATCCCCCATCAGTTAGGGGCAGGGAAGGTCCAGGGCAGGTCTGATCCTGGCTCCAGGCTCCTCCCATCCTTCCTCCTGCTATCCTTGCTCCCATCGCCACCACCAAGTTTCAACTCCGGGTGGAACCCAGAGGAGGACTCAGATGGTGGGCAGTACCTGGAATATGCTGGCTCCATAAGGTGTCCTCCAGGCGTTGAGAAGGTTATCTTTCCCAGTGCTCACGAACCACTTGCCTGCAGGTGGGAGGCAAAGGGATAGTCAAGTTGTAGCTCACTGCCCGCTAAAGCAAGACCTGCCCCAGACATGGTGGCTGGCGTAGAAAAGCAGTGAGAACTCCTAACTAGTATGACTCCAATTTCGAGGGGCGTTTTACAAACAGGACACATGGGTACCTGGAGAGAGCCTTTCTCTGCAATCCAAGGGGAGGGCTGGGAGTGGTTGGGATGGAAAGAGGTAGGATTTGAGGTTAATTGCAGTGATCACACTGCCACAAAATGTTCTTGTTAAAGCCACTAAGGTTGACTGGCCCTTCTAAATTCTGCTACTGAAAGGCGGCAGGAAATACTGAAAATATCCAAGCACCGGGAGTCTGGAGACTTGACAGGAGTCAGTGGGTGCCCATCCTCCAAGCAGACGCTCTGCCAGGGCTCCACCTGAGTTAAAGCCCTGATGCTCCCCCAAAGCCACCAGTACCATGCTCTTTCTGACCAGAGAAGAAAATCCTCCAGGGTTCAGACAGGGTGAGATGTTCAGACTGCGCAGCTTGTCAGTGGAGGAGCAGACATTCCCATGAGGCTGTCAGATGTCAACCATGGTGGTTGTAACCTCAGTGAGGGGCTGCCTGCACTGCTCCTGTCCTGTTCCTTTGCCCCAAGCCTGCAAGAACTGGCTTTTGGCCTAATGTCCTGAGTTCAGTAACTCAAAACAAGGATGGGGGACAAGATCACCAAAAGGTGTTGAAGGGGCACCAGCCAGGGGTCAGGAGGCCTGGTTCCGGGGCCTGGATCGTTCTAGAAGCTTTGGGCCCCTCTTCTGTCCTACTGGGCCGGGCTGCCCTGGGTTCCCCGCCCTGCCCCGTCAGGCCTGGGCCTGCCGCAGGCTCACCGCAGTAGGCAAACTTGAGGGAGAGCACACAGCTCTCGTGCAGGTGCAGCTGGTACTTGTCGGGCTTGGTGTGGTGCAGCACCTCCACGTTGCTGCTCTCCATGCCCACGGCCAGCCACTCCCCGGTGGGGCAGTAGCCCAGCGAGAAGATCTGCAGTGGGAGGAGGGGAGACAGACCAAGCTCAGCATTCTCCGCCCTCAAGAGCAGGCAGCTCCCAAAGCTGCTGCTCCCGTCCTCTGAGGCTCAGAGTCCCTCCCCACCCACCCAATAAACCGGGACTACGGGAGGTCGTTTTCCATCCCCATTTTATAGGTGAGGAAGCACAGACATTTTGCACTCAGAATTACTCTGTCTCTGTGACTTCTCTTTCCTTAAGAAAAAAGTGAGCAAAAAAAAAAAAAACCCCACTAAAATATTAAATTTTTGAGATTAAAATATTAAAGTGAAGAGTGCAGATAAGGAATAATAATCCTGGCGTTTACTGAATGCTTTCTGTAAGTCAGGTTTATGGCTACCGCTTTTAGAGGAATCATTTCAGGTGCTCACATCAGACCTAGGAGGGAGGTACTATTATTTCCAGTTTGTGAATGAGGATGCTAAGGATGATGTGCTCAACAGGAGTGGACAAAGAATCAGATTCCCACAGTTGGGTCAAATGTGTCCAAGCCCAAGGTCACCTCCCGTTTCATTGCTGCTTCCTCCAGGAAGCCTTCCCAGATGACTCAGGTTGGTCCCAAGTCTCTTGGCAATGACTACCCTGTGAGGGTCCCTTTGTCCCTGACCCAGCCACGGGGGCCATGGAGGAAAGGGAAACACGCTGCTCTTTGGGAAGGGTGGAGTCTTGGGCTGCACACCTGGGAAGTGAAGTCATGCTGCTGCAGCTGCCGGCCCTCCCGCAGGTCCCAGGAGCGCACGGTGTTGTCCAGGCCCCCTGTCCACAGTTTGGTGCCATCATGGGAGATGTCTATGCAGCTGGCCCCGTCCGTGTGGCCCTGGAACTGCCTACAAAAGCAAGCAGGGAGGAAGGTGAGCCCTGGGAACCACAGATTGCCAGGTGGCAGCCATCCCAGGGGCACTCTGGGCAAAAGAGGAAACTGAGGCCCAGAAGAGTGCACTATGTATACGGTCCCTTAGCGAGCTTGCAGCAAAGGTAGCCGCAGCCTCTTTCCAGCTGAATGGAAGGGTCTTACTCAGGGACAAGTCCCCTGGGAAATACGGGGTGAAAAGAGGACCTCCCACCAGGCTTCCGAGACTCAGTCCCTCCAGGGTGGGCCTCTGGGGGAGGTGGAGCTGGAGGCTCAGGAAGGTAAGGAAGGCAGGAGGACCCAGGGGAAGCTACTCGTGAGATGACTGATAGAGGGAATGCAGGCCCCACTGCCTTTAGGACACAGCTCCTCAGCCCGCACCGGACGCACCCTCAATTTGCCCTCTTAATCTATCTCTTCCCTGCATGAACTACGGGGCTAAGGCCGTGAACACGCTGACTGACAGCATGAGTAACGCACACAGCCTGTGTGTACAAGAGAAAACCGGGCTAGGCACCCCATCTGCCTTTGCATGGCGGCGCAGTCAGAGGAAGGTGCTCCCCTGACACTGTTTCACACAGGGAGAAACTGAGGCGCAGGAGTTTATAGTGCACTAGGTCATAGCGGAGGCAGGACGCAAACCCAGCAGTTTTATCCGGAGGCTTGTTTAGCCACCCCGTGACGTGGCTTCCCAATCTGGTCTCCCCCAGCTGGTCTCCGGGCCTCTGCTCCCAGCCTCTCTGCTTGCTCCACCAATTTGGCCCCCACTTTCTTCCCAGAGCCTCTCCAAGCTCCTGGGCCCAATGGCCTCCATCCTCTGTCCCTCGCACAAGGCAGGTACAGCAGTCTTTTCACCTGTGCAGCCCTCATCCCAATGGTTCTGGCCACCCCACAGCGTCTCAGACAGGGCCAAGGTCACAGCAAACAAGACCAGGCAGGATGGCTAAGAACGGCCCCAGGACCAGACACAAACGCTCCCTCCTGCCAGCCTCACCTGACCAGCGTCTGGTTGTGCAGGTCCCAGACGGCAATGTTCCCATCGCTGCAGCAGGAGAAGCAGACTTTGGCGTCGGGGCTGATGGCCAGGGCGTAACAGGCGGGGGCTGAGGACGTCAGCTCGGCCTTGATGCGGGGTGTGGGCGAGGCCAGGTCCCAGATGGTGAGCGTGCTGGCCTCGCCGCCCACAATGAGCGTGCGCCCGTCCGGGAGCAGCTTGCAGGAGCGGATGTAGTTGTCCCTGTTCTGGAGGGAGAAGCGGCAGGGCTGAGTGCTACCTACTTCCCCTGCCGGGCACCAGGAGAGTCCTGACCAGCAACACCGGGCACCCTGACCAGCCCTGCTTACAGCTTCCCTTCCACCCAGCAGCTGCCAGGCTGTCCCCATTCCTCAAATTCACAACTCTTTGATCTTTCATGAATACCAGGTCATTATCAACCCCACACACACAACTGGGGCTCAGAGAGGTTAGTCAGCTTGCCTGAAGTTGCTCAGCCAATATGATACTGAGCCGGGCCCTGGGGCTCTCCCCTATGGCCCAGGCTGCCCCATCCTCCGACACCAGCTGGAGGAGGTGCAGGGGCCCTGGGATTCTCACCAGGCAGTCCAGCTGGGAGATGGGGCTCTTGCTGCCCGGCTGGCTGATGTCCCAGATCTTCACGCAGCCCTTGCCACCTGTGTAGACGTGCCTCGTGGGGTTGCTGATGGTCACGGCACACACCACCTCCCCGTGGCTGAGTGTGTTGATCTGTCGGGCGTGCCTCGGAATGCCAGGGCCTGCCAGGGCGTCGTGGGGGAAGGGCACGGGCTGCATCTGCCCATCAGCGCTCACATGGAATGAGTACGCCCTGAAAAGGCGAGAACTGTCACTGCTGCCATCCACCCCTGGCCCCTTAGAGTTCCCACAGGCCGGCCCAGGTCACCTGCACGGCCCCCGACTGGCTGAGACCACACCGTTGCACTGAACCCAGTAACCCCATGTACTAGGATGGCTCCACCACGGTGGAGAGCGCTTAACAGGCCCACTTTGATTTTCACACCCGGTTATATATCCTTGCTCCAAATCAGACCGGAAACCCACAGGTGTCCTGGGATGCCCTTTCCCACCGTCCATACATTCCCCCAGCATGCCAGCCCTGGAAAGGGCCTGGCCGAAATGCCACCTCTTGCTTTAGGAGCCGGAGGTATTAGGGAACGGGTCTCCCTGCCCCTCCAATAGCGAATGGACAAGTCTATGTGGGAAGCCGGCCTGGCCTGCCCGCTGGTGGCTGCCCTCTCAATCAGCGTGATTCTTGTGGACAATGAGAGCACTGTGTCAGGCAGTGTCTCAGCATTATCTACACGCTCCATCTTTTCGTTTCCTAGCAACCCAAGGAGGTGAAGGGCCGGGAGAGTGTGCCCTCCACTGCTGACAGGGAAGGGCCTGCGAGCAGCAGCAATGGGCCTTCCCAGCAGGTAGATCCCAGGGGAGCCGGGGAGGTCCACGGCAGCTCCGGGTGACTCAGTGAGGGGTGTTCCTTCTCCACCAGCCCAGTGGCCATGCACTTAGCACGCCCGTAGCTCCTCTGCTGGGGGAGTGTCTGTAGGTGCTCAGAAGTGTGGCCTGGCTACAGTTTCCTGGGGTTGCAACCGGGCCTTGGTGCCTCCAGAGGGACAGACACCTTCCCAAAGGGACATGCACCAGGGCAAACCCGTGGTGGGGGTATGGGGGGCGTTGTTGGAAGCGGGGGTAAAGTGCTCTCTCCTGCCCACCCTACAAAGCATACAGTAAGTACAGCCAAAGCTTACGGTTTTCCTCCGGGAATGGAGGCCAGGCTTGAGGGGAGGCCTGTGGCCCGCATCGGGGGGTGAGGGTCAAAGCCAACCTGTAAAGCAAGGCAAGACAGCCCTCTGTCAGCCACGCCACCACGCACCCCCACCCCTGCCTCCTCCACCACCCACCCGGGTCCTGCCTGCACTGCTCTGCCACTTCATAACCCAGGAGACGAGCTGAGCAGAGCAGGGCCCATTGACCGAGAGAAACACAGGCCCAGGAGGGCTCGTGGCAGGGAGGGGCTGACAGTGTAGACCCCTACTTTGAACCAGCATCCTCCCTGTTCTGCCAGGCAGAGCTGGCCCCCGCCCTGCTTCTTTCCTCTCCTGGGGTCCCAGTGGGGCCTGCCAGTGGAGAGGAGGCTGCCCCGGGCCCAGGAGGTAAAAGGAAAACTGTCTCCTGAAAAAGAGCCCCTCTCCCCGCCAACCCTCATTTTTCCTTTTTTTTTTTTTTTTTTTTTCAGATGGAGTCTCACTGTGTTGCCCAGGCTGGAGTGCAGTGGCACGATCTCAGATCACTGCAACCTCCGCCTCCCGAGTTCAAGTGATTCTCCTGCCTCAACCTCCCAAGTGGCTGGGATTAGAGGTGCCTACCTGCACACCCTGCTAATTTTTGTATTTTTAGTAGCAGGGTTTCACCATGTTGGCCAGGCTGGTCTTAAACTCCCGACCTCAGGTGATCCAGCTGCCTTGGTCTCTCAAAGTGCTGGGATTACAGGCCTGAGCCACCGCGCCCACCCCCTAATTCTTGTTATTCATTCGCCACAATATAAAGTCTTGTTATGACGACTAGTCCCATCTACGAGACCCCTGGTCCATAGGTATCACCTGGCTCACCTTGAGATTTCCACCCCCCCAGAACCGGGAAGGGCAGGTGTCAAGCCCTGTTTCTCAGACTGAAAGGGGCGGCTGCCTTAGGTGAGGTCACAGGGCAGCTCGCAGGCCAGTGGGGTAGAACCCCAGGTCTGATGGCCCCAAAATGTGTGCCCTTCCAGCCAGGTCTCAATTGTTTCCGATATACATTCTCCCCACAGGGGCAGCTGCCTGGCCTCAAGAGTCTAAGGTGCCCCTTACTGTGTGGGGAGCACCCCTCCAACTCCCGCCAGCTCCCAACACCATGCCCAGTCCCCAAGAAAGGAGCCAAAAGGTCTACGTACAGCTCCAAAGCTCACCATTGGCGATCGGCCATAGGCAGCAGCTGCAGCGGCGGCGGCGGCGCTCATCTGGGGCGGGATGTTGTGGAGGCCGGCATAGGCGCCAGGGCTGGTGAGGGACCCGTTCATCTCGTGGTGGCTCATCATGGCGAAGGGCGCCGCGTAGGAGCTGGTGATGGAGATGGGCGTGCGCAGAGCCGAGGCTGCGAGGGGGTGGGCGTCAGGGAAGCGGGCCTTAGGGGGATCGGGACACGGCCATGGCCGCCTCACCCAGCAATAGCTCTCCCGGCATTCTTAAGCTGCCTGCTCCAGGCAGTCCTCTTAGACTGAGCCCACCCAACTGGGATCCCTGCCTGCAGAGCCAAAGCAGCTTCAAGCTGGGCAGATGCACCCATTTTTTTTTTTTTACAGAGCAGGATATGGAGGCCCAAACGGGCTTGCTCAGAGCCTCACAGGACTGACAGTGGTGGGAACAGATCTTGGGGGCCCTGACCTGTCCCACGCTGCTTTCATATGCCTGGCCCAGAAGGGGCCCCAGACACTTTGGCATTACCTCCTCCTCAAACCTGCCCGTGAAGTCCCCAAGGGCAGGCCCTGGGAGACACTGCCTGGGCTCTATCCCATAGGTGTGCGCGGCTCCTGCCCTGGCCAGGGCCAGACCCCCCTCCCCCCAATCAGATCAACTTGGCCCATGGTGCCTACCCATTATACCTATCGGGTCCATGCCCGGAGGTTTGCCCGGCATCGACCGGAGCCCTGGGGTCGTGCTGGTGCCTGGAGTTGGGGCATCATTCCTCGGGGTTGGTGTGTTAGACTTGAGCCCAGGGGTGGAGGATTTGTCATTCTGAAGAGGGGACATGCAGAGATGAGGGAGGCCATGAGGCTTCCATTCTCCCAGCAGCCAGGCACAGCTGTTACGGGTCCCAGCACGAAGCCCAGAGCCAGCCCCTTACGAAGCCTCTGCCAAAGAGCCTCTTAATCCTTCCCCAACCTTGTTTGGCAGGGACTGGGGTGATCACTCCCATTTTACAGACACAAAAACCAAGGCTCAGAAATGTGAACCCATTAGTGCAGGCCCAGCAGGCACAGGAGGTAAACCAGGGCCAATCCTTCACACAGTTTCTTCCACTCCACCCCTCTGCCCTTGAATCAGCACCCCCCCCCACAACCGGTCCCTGCTGCTCCCTTTCCACTCCCATCTACCCAGACTCCACATACGTGACCAAGGTCTTTGGTCTTGGAGGAAGGTGTGCTGCTGGAAGAAGCCACTGAGGCAGGGCTGGTGGGGGCATCCTTTTTCAGGCTACGGGCCTTGTCCAGCCCATTTTCAGGAGGCGAGTGTGCCGGGCTGACCCGGGGCGTTGGGGGGTCCTGAAAACACAAGTGATGTAGAGATGCTCTGAGGGCAACAGCCAGCCTCGAGGCCTCCCTGCTCTGGGAGTGGGAAGGGAGAGGGCATGGGTGATGGGGAGAAAGGCTTAGCTGAAAGACTGGGGGTCCCGAGGTGACGGGAAGCTAACGCAACCATCTGGTCTGACTGAGGTTGGGGAGGGCGGAAGGGTGACCTTCCCAATGTCAATCACAAGTTCAGGACTCCAATCAGTATGGCTGCGTTTGGCCGAGTGTAGATGCTCTCCAGCTCCTCCTATCCTGCTGAGGCTGAGCCCCTGGGGCTCACAACTGTCACTTCAAGATAGGGAGAGGAGTGGGCTGAGCTGACCTGGACGGAGCACCACGGGGATTTGAAGCTGGCCCCTACCTGGGATCTTTGGGAGTGTCTGTCTCTCTGGAGGCCCACTGCAGGAGGCCCTCCGGGCCCATAAATGCCCAGACACCATGCAGCAAAGCCTTGCCCTGCTCCTCCTGACCCCCTGAGACCCCAAGACCCCTGCTCGGGCTGCCAGGGATACTAGGGCAGACAGAACAGACCCCGCCCCGGTTGGAATAATCCCAAGCCAGAGGCCCGCTGCACCTGGGCCTGCCATACCTCATTGGAAACGTCCACCACCAGGTCGTCGCTCTTGTCCCCATCACTGTCCTGCAGCCAAGAGAGGAGACAGCCGTTCAGTAAGAGGCCATGCTTTCCCCACCCTGACTGAGCCCTAACCACCCCAGCCTTCTACCGGCCAGGACCTGAACCCGGGCCAAGCCCCACAGTCCATGATTTCTCCTGCAGCCCTGCCCTTTAGCAGGCTCCACTCCAGCTCCACAGTCTCCCCAAACCTGTGCCCTAGACTAGCCCCCAGGTTGCTCCACTCCCGTGCCCACTGCGCAGCCGCAGACACCCGCCCCATCAGAACAGTTCCAAGCCCCTCCCCCAACAGCCTGCCCTTCAGCTTCTCTCTGAAGCCAGAACTTTCTTCCCAGCTGGTGTTCCATTCGCCATCCTTCAGTCAGTGTGCTGCTCTCACCTGGTCATTCCCACCCCTCTGTGTGGGAGGGCGACTCGCCTCCTCTCAAAGAAACATTTGAGTGTTCTTCAGGTATGCAATGTGTCCAAAGCCACACAGCAGCCATGTGGCTGAAGAGGGCTGAGTACAAGACCGCTGAGGCCCTGCACCATATCCTCCCCTTTCCTGTCCCAGCTCTCAGCCCTCACATCCTGGCACGGGGCAACACGACGGCCATGCTTACACTAGGGTCTCACATGCAGGGCATCCCATTAAAGGGCTAGTAAAAGCCACGACTGGGCAGCCAGGTGGGTGCATGCCTGAGGCAGACTGAGAGGACTGTAGGGTCCACATTTTGGGGGTGCCGGGAGCAGCCCCTTAGAGTCAAGTGGGATTCTGGCAGCACTGTGACAGCGGCAAGGCGCTGTTGGGCCGTCTGTGGGAAGAGACCCGACGGAGGCTGGGACGACCTCCCCGTCCACCTGCGCCTCACGGTGGCTTGCATGCTCACAGTGTGTATGAACGTCACCCTAGCTCCGTCGTCACCCTGCCCTCCTCAATGGGGCCACCTATGCCCGCCTGTGCTTCTCTGACTCACTGCCGACCACAAGAGGACCCTGGCCATAGCTTGGGCCCTGCAGACATCTCCCGCCCTACCCAACAGAAGCCCCAGCGGCGCCACCACGCCTCGGACGTACGTATCGGCTCAAGCTGTCCTTCTCCTCCGCCTTCCGCTTCTTGGCTTCCATGCTGTAGTCTGCAGAGCCCCGGTGCTTCTCACTGGCCCGGAGGCTTTCCGAAGGTGACACGGAGTTATTCTGGAAGCAAGACGGTTCAGGGTTAAAACTCTCTGCTGCATGTAACAACTCACACATCCGCACACGGCTAAGTGCAGGTGACACGGAGGTCAGGGGAGGGAAGAGAAGCTGAACTCCTCTCTGCCCTGCAGATCGTGGCTCCATCAGAGCCTCGCCAGGGAAGCCTTCCCCACTCCCCAGACTGAGTCCCCAGGGAGAGGCCCTGGGAGCATCCCTAGTTCTCTTTTGCAGCTCTGCCACTGCTATTAAATAATTAACCCTGCAGCGAGCCGCCTGCCTTCTGGCCTGTGAGACTACGCTCCGTGGGGACGAGGGTCACCCGGGTCTCGTTCACCACCCATCTCGCGCCTGCTGCACTCATTTGCTCAAAGGAGGGATAAGTGGAATTTGCATTGAGTCTTGTAAGATGGATCTGAGTTGACAGGCGGGGGCCATGAGCAATACTTCATCTGCTGAGCCCGACAGGAATGGGGAGATTGATAGGGAAGGAGGGCGTCAGGCAGCCACCGACTTCCCAGTGGAGATGAGCAGCCGAGCGTTCAGAGTGAACACCCCCGCCTCCGCGGCAAGGCTGTCAGCAACTCTGGAGAAACACCAGGGTTGTAAAAAAAACAAAAATGCAACGTCATGAAGCCTTTCCCTCTGACAGACAGGAAAAGGTGCAAGGGCAGGGACAGTGACTGCCTTGGTAGCCATCACCAAGTGGGGACCCTGAGAGCTTGGCGAATGTGCCCAAGCTCCCTTAGCAGAAGGTGGCACAAAGGGAACCCCTGATTTTCATGACTTCTCCCTCAGCTATAAAGCAAATGAGGATGAGAAGCCTTTGGGGTGGGAGGCCTGGGAGGAGGCGAGATGGTGGAGCAGTCCCAGGGGTATGGAGTGGTCAGAAATCACCATGTGGCTGTTCCCATCGAGCCGGGGAGCAGGGAGGGAGGAGCTACTGGCAAGGGCACCGGCCAGCAAATCTCTGTGCACAGAGTTTAACATCAGGACCAATGCCCCTCTACGATATCGGTGAGGTTTACTCCTTCCTACCGGCTGAAACTTAACCTTCGCCACCCGCCAATTTCCGAGCAGCTGCCCTGGGTCAGGCCTGGTGCTGCAGGCCAGGAGTGGCAGAATGAATGAGACACAATCCCTGCTCTCCAGGAGCTCATGGGCCAGTTATGATGGCACTGGAAGGAAAGGCCAGGCCATCCCAGGTCCCAGTCCCAGGCCCAGTCCCCATGCAACACGGGAAGTCACATGGAGACACAGAGGAGCATCTGTTCAGAAGAGAAGAGCATCAGAAGGCAAGTGAAATGAGGTTGCTCTTCTCTTCTCCACTTTCTCAGAGGCCAAGGGTGGCTCAGGGGCCAGGGCCACCTGGAGGGAATGGACTGGGCGGTACTCGGTGGGAACGGTGCGGCCACCAGCCTCAGAACTTAATTTCCTTTCCGAAGCCTGTTTCTGGGCAGCCCTTCCCTGCCAAGTTTCTGCCTGAAGCAAATTAAAATGGCAGAGTTATCAAGCCTTGAAGAAAAAATGGAGGTTGTAATGGAACTGCAGCTCAAGCTTCCCCACAGCCGTGCAGGAGCGGCGGCGATGCGCGCACAGCCGCAATTCAATTAGCTGCTGCAATCGCCGGCAGAAAAATCACCGTCATTTCATTTCATTTCCTCTGACGGTGGCGGCCACCCTGTGCTAAGCAGAAATGCTTCCAGCCCCTCGCGCCGGCTGCCCCTCGCGGGCGGGCGGGCGGGCAGGGGAGGGGGCGTGCGGCTGCTCGTGTTTCTCTTTGCGACCCGGTGCTCAGCTCGGGAGAACAGCGAGCTCTTTCTTCTCATGCAATCAGGCTGAAAACCCTCCCCGCTACCGGAGAGTCATGTCAGGCATTTAGCGGCATCGATCCAGCCCGCCTCTGGCTGGCAGGCGGCCAAAAAACTAAGTATTTTTTATTGCTTCAGCTAGGCAAGGAAATATGAATGAAGCTACCTCTAATTGGACTCCAGACTAACCCCTCCGGGACAGCTTCCAGCGCGTCCCCCCGTCCCCCCTCCCACTCTGACACAGCGCTGTCCTTCCTGCCATAGGCCTCATCTGTTGACAACCTGGTTTCCAAAACCTGATTATTTCAGTCTACACCACCCCGACACTGTCGCTACATGCATGCGCAGAGCCTCGGCCCCGAGCTGCCCACCGCTGCCTCTGCCCAGCGTCTCGATTCATTCCCGTTGGAGTTGCCAGTGGCCCGTGGGTGCCATGCATGGACCTCAGCGAGTATGGTAAAAAGCCCAGATACTGGGGGTTCACGGGGGGGTTCTTTTAACAGAAAACTTTCACAGATGGGGCACAGAGCCAGAAGCCAAGAGGGATGAGGATGAGGTAAAGACTCATGCTCTTTAAAGAGCGCTGGGCCTCCCTCTCCCCGTCCAGTTCCACTGCCATTACCCAGGTAATGTGGACCCTCCGTCAGGTTATAATGGGTCTTCCTAAACAAAGCTGAGAGGCTGGCTGAGCTGGAATTATTCTCATGGCATGGATAAGGAAACTGAGGCTCAGTGAGGCCAAGAGAACTACGCAGGGTCTCAAGGCTGGGACCAGACCTCAGCCTTATAATGTCCTCCAACCCTCCACCTGCCTAGGCAAATTGCCTCTCCAAAAATGCCACTGTTAGAGGATCAGTACTGAGGCAGTGAACGTGGAATTTCAGCTTCAAGGACTCCTCTCGTAGATACCTACCTAGCCATGAGCATGTAGGCAGGGTACGAGGAGGCACCAGCCTCGTTGCTAATGGGAGGTTTAAAAAGTCAGCCTGGGCGAGGGGAGGGCCATGAAGGGAAGGAGGGTTGGGTTGGAAAGAGCTGCCCAAGGAAGCTGCTGTCTAGATGGTTAGTTAAGTGCCTGACCTTCCAAGTCCTACTTAACACGAGGTAATAACCAAAGCCATCCTAACAGATTAGATGGCCCCAGATACAAGGACGGCGATGAGGAATAAAATAGCTTTGCTAATCACTGGAGGATTTTTTTTATCCAGACTCCACTGCGCTTATTCAGAAGGCTTATTCACTTGAAACAGAACCTCAGAGCCTCAGTGTGATCAGAAAGATTTACAACAAATCTCAGAGCTGGCAGACACGCAGGCGGCCTGGCCTTAATGCTCGCCTGCTAGCACTTTCTTAAATCGAGTGAAAGCCCAGAGCAGGGAGAAACTGCAGGCGTTTGAAGGGAATGAGGAGGATGCAAGATCATACAGGAGGCATCTGAGCTGGGGGGTGGGTCAGGGGGTGGGTAAGAACCTTCGCCCTGGACATGGGACACCTGGGTCCTAAGCCCTGGGTTTAGACCATGGACTCCACAAAGCCCCTCGCAATGGAAGACCCGGGCTGGTCAGCTGACCTCTCAGAGTATCACCTCTCATCTGAAAGGGAGTTAGAGCTCGTTTAGCTGAAGCTCTTCATTTAACAAATGGCAGACCTAAAGCCTGGAGAGATGAAGGGCTTCCACAACTGAAGGTCAGTCTCAACAGGTGACAGCAGCTCCCACTGTATGACAGTAACTACCCCTCACCCTGCCACTACCACTACTGGGTCTGGACTGAGACATCAGCGCTGAAGCCAGGTCTCCCAGATCCGCACCAGGAAACAAACAAAACCCCGTTTCAGCCCATAGAGCAGAACTGGGAACCCAGAAGCCAATTTTGGACACCACTGGGTCTCAGGCCTGTGATTTTGGGAGCCCCGAGTCCCACCTCCTCCCAGCACCCACACACCCCTACGGGTTCCAGAGTGCCAATACTTACCGCACTGGATTCTCTCTCTTTGGGGAAGGAAGACCAGGATAGGAGGAAGGTCAGGCCCCCCAAGACAAAAAGACAAAAAAGAAAAGAAAAAGGTCAGTCTTAAGTCCAGCCGGCTTTTGTGATTTGCTAGTGCACTGGTTTTAAAATGGGCAGAAGGCCTGGATTGCTGTCTCTGTGGATCAGCCAAGGCAGGGCCATTAGGTGGCATTTCCCGGTTTGGAAATTCGCCACCTCAATTCCAGTAATGCCCCGGCCCCTCCAGTCCCCTGGGGTGGGCAGGGGAGGCCTCTGACCCAGTTCTCCCTGTCATGCCAGAGGGCACCAAGTTTATTGTTTGGCAGACTAGGGTTCTTAAGGCCACAGGCTTGGGAGGGATCAAGCCATACAAAATACCAGTAGGACCTGGGAGTTAAGAACGTTATTGTTAAAAAAAAAGGGGTGGGGGAATTTAAGAGTGGTTTCTTTAATTCTGTTTTTGAAATTAACACCATTCTCTGATTCTTTGTCAGGATGCCCCTAAAAGCTGAAGCCTCTGATAATTTGCCCAGCTAAGCACTAGCTCCCCAGTTCTCCTGTCTACTGGGGAGAGGTTCTTCTTCCTCTGCGAAGAGGATCATCCCACTGTAAGACAAAAAAATATAGCCTCCAGTTCCTGGGACCAGCTCCCACCCTGTGGCCTGGGCCAAGGCAGAATGGTGACACTCCAGGTCCCTAGTGCTCAGAAGGTGCTGGCTACGTGCCCCAGTAAATACCGTATCTAAGGGCAAAGCGCATATGGCGGTAATATTTGAAAAGGGTCTTCCAGGGAGCCAGGCCCTTCTCTTTCCTGATCCAGTGTACCCCGCTGAGGCCACGCTTGGTGCAGCTCCCCGGGTACTCATGGTAAGGTCTGTGGTGAAGGATCAGGGAAGAAGTTCTGACTCCAGATGATCTCCTGCTGGAGTGTGCACTACCCCCACTGACGGGCAGTCAGATACCCTTTACCTGGGCACTGACTATGCACCTTTCCCGGGTTCCTGCTTTGGTGGGACACATATGTAAGGAAAACACCCAGGAACCTGGACCCTGTCCTGGAGAACTAATGATCTTGGTGAGCACAACACATTTTCCAGGGGTAGGATGTAAGAGGGTACTTAGCCGTGGCATCCCAACTCTTAAAGTCTTATGGGAACTTAAAAAAGGGCCCTAGTCCAACCAGGAAGGCATCTTGAAGGGGTAGACTGGGGCTGGCCCCTGAAGGACAGGCAGAGGTGTTGTCAGAAGATGGGATGGAGCTCCAGATGAACATCAATGTCTTCAGGACAGAGAACACTAGGTCCACGCCAAGGATTAGGAAAAGGTGCATGGGACGTGGATGGTGCTGGCTTCCATGAGCCAGGTCTTCAATAGATGGCTCCAAATCTTTGCTAACTCCTGGTCCTAGGGTGATTGCATTTGCTGGGTGCACTCAATTCAAGGCCTATGAGGGTCCAAGCCCCTCCCCACCCCACCCCACCCTCTGGCCCAGCCCAGGCCCACCTCTGTGATCGAGTTCATGGTGGTTCTTCTCATCCTTCACCGTCAGGTGGGCCTGGCTGCCCAGAGCGCCCAGTGCCAGCAGCCCAGAGCTGCTCCCCGTCACTGGGGGGATTCCTGGAGGCTGGAGACCTGATGGGTGGGGTGGCAACTGGACCGGGGGGCCGTGTGTGGCATGAGAGAGGTGCTGCGCCTGGAGCTGCTGCTGCTGCAATGAAGTCAGTGATGAGTACAGCTGAGCCTGGGAGGGCAAGGGAGGTGCGGCCACCTCGGGAGGGAGGGAGGGAGCAGCTCTTCCCATCCCTCTCACTCCTTCATTGGGTGGGTGGCAGGGGGAAGCACCCCCAAAACCTTTGCCCCCAGCTCAGTCCACATGAATGTCTCACTGAACGAAGTCTGTTAACAGACTGCAATGTAAAGATTTATGTCTTCAAGCCTCCCCCCGCACCCCAGTTTCAGGAAGAAATCTCTCAATGTTTGTTTCCAAGCCTGAGCTAAATAATGCATGCATTAAAAAACCACACAGTCATGGGGTTCCCTCTGAGAGGGATCCATTTTTAAGCTCACAACACTGGCAGTGTTTGCCCATGCGTACATGCCTTCAGCATTAACTGCCAGCATCTCCCACCCTGAGGCTGGACTCTGGGGAAGACTCCTCATTTCTTAGGAACTCCAAGCCTGCCCTGCAGAGCAGGGGCAGGGCAGGTCATCACAGCAAAGGCCCCAGAGCCAGAAGAGCTGGGAGCCAATGGGATGAGAGCTAATATCACCAGACATGAGAGAACTGGGTAACTGCAAGAGCAGAGGCTTTGGAACTAGACAGACAGGACTGAAATCCCAGCTCTGGCACTTCCTAGCTGGTGGCCTGGGGCAGGTTACTTCAAGTCCTTGAGCCTCAAATTTCCTTATCTGTAAAGAGGGGAGGCAGCAGACCCCAGAGAATGATTGTAAGATAATGTATGCAGTACCTCATGGCACACAGCTAACATTTACAACGAGTTTAAGATGGATTCCCGAACCCTTCTTAAAACTGCCATGCAGCAAGTCAGTATCATTGTCAACAACAATGCAATTCTCCCTGTCTCCTTCCCAGGACTCCGCGGCCCTGGTTCCAGAGGCCCAGCTTCCCTGCTCAACACCAGCCTCAAGGGCTTCACTCCCCTCTCCCTTCCACACACCCAGCTTCTCGACTACTGCAGGAGTTACGTATGCTGGTATCCACCTATACACGCATCTTTCTTTTCAAGTAGTGGAAGAGAAGAGAACCAACATTTACTGAATGCCTGAATGAATGCCTGGGCACCTTCCAAACACCTGGCCAGGGAGGGGTTGTGCCCATTTAATAGATGCTTAGGAGCTGGAGTAGGCAGCCAGTAATTGCCCGAATCCCACCAGTAGTAAATCTGTCAACCACCACCCTCATCCAAAGAATGTTCGTTCCTAAGATCCCCAAAGCAGGAGGGGTTGGTGGAGAGTCCCATACAAAACAGATCTGAGAAGCTTCCAGATCTCACGCCTTACTGAGGGAGCTCGCCTGTCAATATGGGATGGCTTTCGGGCAACTGTGAACAGATAACAGAACACAGTGAAGGCTCATGGCTCCAGCAGGAGGAGGCAGTAAGTGTCTCAGGTTATGGATAAAGGGCCCTGCCTACTCTCCCCCAGCTAAGCTGCAAACCGCCCACCTGGCCTCATCCCAGCCACAGTAGCCATGGCACTGCTGGCCCCAGAGGGCTCCCTTTGTCAGTTGTGGGTGAAAGGCTGGCACTGTGGCCATCGCTCAAAGCTGTCAGAGTCTCTGTGATGTCTGTTGCGAGGCAGTTCATGGGCACTGTCCCAGGGTGGGCTGACCCCACATCTGCACTGAGACACTATGGCAGACACAAAGCTACGGGGGATCCTGGAGCCAGCATCACAGAGTCCAATGTGGAGATCCAACCCCTCCCAGCTAAGAAATTCCAGCTTCTCTCAGATGGGAGCTTACTCTGAGCTCCTCCACCTTTTCTTTTTAAAGAAAATGTGACTTTTTTTTATATCTTATTACAAAACTAATACATGCTCATTTTAAGAAAATACTAAAAATAAGTATATGTTAAAAAGTTTTTTTAAATTACCCTTCAATCCTACCCTCAGAAGATTCTACTGTTCGTCTGCCTGGGTTTTTCTTTATGAAAATCTACACATTTCAAATGTATTTCTGCAGAAATGGACTCTTGTGAACCATACTACTATACAGCTTGATTTTAATTTAGGAATGTTCTGAAAAAATTCTCTTGTCCTTTTTAATGGCTACCTAGTATTCCCTGATGTGGCTGAACAATACAACGTTATCTGGATACCTGGTTTTTAAAACTAGTCTCCAGTAGGGCCCCTGTGGTTCCAATTGCTGGTAGGTCCATTAATTTCGCTGGTGATAACTATTTAGTAAGATCCCAGAAAACAAGGGCTGAGGTATTTAATATGCTTTTTTTTTAAAAGACAGAATCTCGCTCTGTGGCCAGGCTGGAGTGCAATGGTGCCATCTCGGCTCACTGCAACCTCTGCCTCCCAAGTTCAAGCATTCAAGCGATTCTCCTGCCTCAGCCTCCTGAACAGGTGGAACTACAGGCACATGCCACCACGCCCAGCTAATTTCTGTGTTTTTTTTTTTGTTTTTTTTTTTTTTTAGTAGAGATGGGGTTTCACCACATTGGCCAAGATGATCTTGATCTCTTGACCTAGTGATCCACCTGCCTCGGCCTCCTCAAGTGCTGAGATTACAGGCGTGAGCCACCGCGCCCGGCCTTAATCCGCATTTTATAGTGCAGACCCAGTAAGATCGCTTGAGGAAGAGGAGGGGAAGGAAGGCTTCAAAGAAATAGCTTTGCTGCCTGCAGACAGAGCTAACTCCTTGCATGAACAAGTCTGTTTCTAGAGAAAATGCACATTAAACATTTGCCCCCAAGGAAAGATGGAGCTGAATAGCTCCACACACCCTGATTTTTATCTTACCAGGTAGTCTCCTCTCCTACCCAACCTTCTAGGCTCAGCTTTGCCCAGTTCAAAGGCCGTCTCCTCTGGACACCCTCCCCCTCATACTGGTCAGAATGGATTTCTCTGTTCTAAGAGTCCTAACAGCTCAGACAGTGGAGCCAGATAAAATACGGCAGACTTGCGCTCCATCCTTTATCAGACATGAGTCCTTGGACGGGTCAGCCAGCCTCTCTGGGTTGTGCAAGGGTCACATATGTGACTACAGGCAAAAACAGAGCAGGTGCTCAGTCACCCTTAGCAAACACTACGGATGGATCCCAGGTGTAAACGCTTCCTTTGCCTTTGTGCACTGCGCTTGGTAATCTGTGAGTTCCAGGAACGGAGACTGTGTCTTCTCCATTCTAGCACCTCTAACAGTGCCTGGCATATTTGCTCAGTACATGTCTTCTGGGTGAATTCGTGAACATTTTGGAAAAGGTACATGAGGAGGCTGAGAAACAGTGCCCACAGGTGCCAGCCACCTCCCAGCTCCATGCCTCCCTCTAAGGCCCAATTAGATGCAGCTACAACAGTCAGTTGGGATAGGAAGAATCAATGGAGGCATGAGATGCCCTGCTTGCCCGAAACATGAACCAGTGAACCAACGTCAGAATCTTGTACCCCAGGCAGCAGCGGTCGTGTGGCAGACTGGCTTTCAAAGCTGTTAAGCATCCAAGGCGGAAAGGCTGGTTTTCAGCTTTAGTGTTGTCAGGTAGGAGCGTCCTCTTTGCAAAAGAGAAGAGAAAAGGAATCTCCCAGGCAAAACCGAGGCATTCCTTATCTTTGAGGGCAAAAGCAACGTGCTGCAAAGAGCCAGAAACTCCCCGGAGGTCTCCTTGGGATGGGTGGAAGGCACAGCGAGGACAGGCCCAGCAGACTCCGCGAAGCAGGGACAGGAGAGCCAACCTCCAAGGCTCCTTCCTCGGTGTGAGAGCAGATGCCAGGGTTGTCGGGTGGAGGGTCTGCTAACAACAGTCTTGGGTGGGTACAACAGAGAGTGAAACGAAGATTTTTCCCTGACAGGTCTGGGGGCCAGCTGGCAAGGCCCCACCTGACCCCGTCCCCATCACAGCTCAGCACCTCCGCAGGCAGGCAGGACGCCACTATCCTCAGGCTGTATTCCTATCCCCTGCAACACGTCTGCTGGCTGCAGAGCACAGTGTGCTCAAACACAGTGATGTCTGAGTGGGAGGATGATACTGTTTTCAACTGGGTAGCTTTCCCCATGGCAGAGAAATGGAATCAGTTCCGCAAGCTGAGATCGCCTGTCTCCAGCTGATACCATTCCTTCCAATATGGGAACTTCTCCATCCACGACATGAAATAAAGTCAATTCCCCCTTGTACCCCCGATCCCAAAGAGGGGCTAGGAGTCTGGAACCAGGCCCATGCCTGAGCATTCACATTTCCCTCCTTGAACATTTCCTACCAGAGCACAAACAAGCCAAGGAACCTGTACGCCACACACGGGATAAGTGCCCATGGCCTGGCGCAGAAGGTGCGGTCACTTCCAAGAGAGGAGGAAGGGAAGATCTTGCTTGCAGTGTATGTCTAATTGGATTACACACATCACGCCTTATGCCTTCGCTGGCTGGTTGAATGCTCCGTTTCTCAGGTTCACGATTTGGAATGAACTTAGTGACGTTGTCTAAGCATTCCCAGAACCAAGGCACGCCGAGGGCTCCCACCAGAGGAGGCAAAGCAGGGTTCTGACTGCGTAAAATGAACGCTTTCTGCCCTCCACGGACAGGGAGAACAGCTCCAGGCCTCTGATCGCTCCATCTCTTTCGTATCACTCAGGGGGCACCACAGCCCCATGTGCATTGAGCTTCCGGGTTTGGTAATAGCTTTCAGTGCTCACAACAACCCTTGTGGTCCCCACTTCAGAGATGGCGAACAGGCTTGGGAGGCGGAGCAGCTCCACCAAGCCAGCAGCAACCAGAGCTCAGACTCAAATTCAGCGTTACCTCCCTCTACCACGGCTGCCTGGCTCAAAGCCGGATCCTACGGCACACTCTCTTGGCCATCCTTTCCCCTCACGTAAAATCCATTCAACTGAATTCAGCTCATCCACATTCTGGAGTGAATGCAAGAACCTTAGGTATGGCTTCAAAATACCCTGTGTATTTTGTGACAAGCTACAATCTCCTGCTTTCTTCCCTCCCTCCCACTTAAAAAAAAAAAAAACCAAGTCGATGCTCTATGACATCTCCCCTACTGTTAATTTCCTAGGGAATGCAGACCAAATTGTCAGTGTTGTCAGTGGGTGAGCAGATGAGAGCCCCTCCACTTTCCAGTCCAAAGATCTGGGCAACGGAAAAAGAGTGTTCCAGAAATGGGTGATAGATACATCAGCTCACCGGGTCTTAAATCTGCTTGGGAAAGATAGATACTGCCTTCTGCAAGTTGCTGACCAAGGGTCAGATTTCCCTCCTCGTGCTCAGGAATCTTATCTTTCTCCAAAGCCCCTGCCATTCATTTATCCAAGAAGCATGTAACAGAGACAGGGCTACAGTAACCAAGTCTTGCCAGGCCCCAGCTAGAAGAGAGATCATCTTCTACCTGTCTGCCCTCAGTGGACCCTTGAGGTCCAGCAAGGGAGTGGGCAGGGTTGGCTGGAGAGCCCAGTTCCCTTGATCCGTCTTTCCTTCTTCCCCTTTCCAGATGCACCACGCTGACTTCGGATCCTGCATTTTCCTACCATCCTCATGATCAACATGCCACCAGCTGCCTCCCTGCCCATGCCAGAGGTATTTGATTTCTCTTTGAGTTGGGCTGAGCCACGACCTCAGACTCTTTCAACTCCATAAGCAAGAAAGTCATTAAACAAGTAGGTAGATGGAGAAACTGAGGCCCAGAGGAAGAAAGTGACTTGCCCAAAGCCCTCCCTCTAAGTCCTAGACCAGGGTGCCAGCTGCGTTTCCTTCCAGAGCAGCAAATCCAGCAGTGCCGTGGGGGTAGCCACTGGTAGCTGCCAAGAGCCTCCGGGGACCCTCCTCCTCTCCTGCCCTTTCCTGCTGGGGCAGGGTGCCTGCCCTTTTGCTCAGCCCGTGGCTCTGCACCCCCTGCCATCCTTCTCTACCTGGCTTCCCAGAGGCGGCTCAGCTGCAGGCTCGCTCTCTGCTCTCCTCGAGGAGGAGATAAAGAATGCCCTGACTAGCTCAGCGACCTCCTTCGCTGGAGTGCAGTCAAGCACGGCTCCCCAGCACGAGCACGCCTCGGCTGTCTGTAATTCCTGCCTTGTGAGGCTCTGTCAGGCGCGGCGATTAGACGGCCGCCTGCTTAATGACAGGGCGATGGCTGCGTTCACTCAGAGCTGGAGAAGCAATTACCTTGAAAATGAGGGTCACAGGCCCCACTCGTTGGCTTTAATTGAATTCCAATGTCTGCCTCTAGCTGCCTCGACCTAACTTGTAGCTTCCTAAATGCTACTTAAAGGAAGTACAGCTAATCCGAGCAGTGCTTCTCCCCCAATTTTACTCCTTTCTTAAAACTTAAAAAAACATATTTTCATAAGAGGATTTTAATTCCAAAGACAGAGGCAGAGGAGATCCTGCTGTGGTCACTGCAGGAACTTCACCTGGAAACCTCAAGAAGATGGTTAGACAGGAGATGGGGGTGAGGAGCTGGAAGAGGAGAAACCTCAGAAAACAGAATTCACAAGCTATGTCCTATCCCCGCAGCCCCCTGCTACCACTAGCTGCAGAGCCACCAAGCTGAGGGCCGGGCACTGAGACAGAGGACACAGGCCACCCTCCAGGGCTGCACCGGGGCCAGGGGAAGAGCCCTGAGCTGCGAGTCAGCCACTTGGGACTCTGGCCTGGCTTTGCTCCTCAACATAATCATTTCCTCTCTCTGTAAAACAAGGGCAACTGAGCTAGATCAGTGGTTCTCAACCAGGGGCCATTTTGCCTCCTACAGACATTTGGCAACGTTGAGAGACATTTTGGGGTGTTACGAGTGTGGGGGGTGTGATTGACCTCTGGTGGCTACAGGCCAAGGATGCTGCTGAACATCCCAGCAAAGAACGATCTAGCCCCAAATTTCAACAGCGTCAAGGTTGACGATCCCTGGGCTAGATGATCTCTGAAGACACTTTAAATGTTAAAGTATCATGATTTGCCCTCTTGGGGTGCTGCCTTCCAGCACTGAACACTTCCTCACGTTCCAGTTTCAAGATTCCTCTGCCCATTGCACACAGTAGGCCAGGATTCAAACCAGGCCAATGCTTGCCTCCCCCACCACCTCCAAGCAGCACTTGGGCTCAGCCTAGAAGGACAAACCCACTGGGCTGCCTTCACCAAAGGACGCTGTAGCCATCACGGGTCCTGATGGCGTGATGGAGGGATCCGTGTCCACGTGTCCTTCGGGGATTCCAGCCTCCCAGCATTCCTGGTAGGAGTCAGGGGTGCCCAGAGAACTGAGATGCTGTACCCTCTCCATTTACAGATATAGGAACTGAGGCCCAAGGAAGAGAAGGGACTTGCCAAAGGTCACGTGGGGGAAGAACCATGACTAAAGCATGGACCTCCAGGTTTCTGCCCCAGACGGAAAAGTCAAGAGTCATCATGTTTCCCATGAGGCAGAAGAAAATTCTGGAGCCTTCAGTTCCACCTTGAAATAGTGACTTCTCGTAAGAACAGAAAGAGGAAAGACGACGAACCAGGTTCCCAGAATGTTAGGGTTGAATCAGTCCATTGCTTCCCGAGCCTAACTACACTTCAGAATGAACTGGAAATCGTTCCAGACTCCCAGTCCTATTCCCAGACCTATGGAAAAGACGACAAATCTGTACTGTCCAGAAGCTCCTCCACGGATGCGGAAGCAGTGATCCCACCCACGCCCTTCATTTTAAAGATGTAAGGTGGACAGGTACACCCCAAGGTAAGAGCTTTGCCCAAAATCACTGAAAAGACTTCTTCCTCAGGAGCTTATCTTAAATATGCTAGCCTCACACCAAAGCAGCAAGCAGGAGGGAGATGCCACTTGAACCTATGAAATCCATTAAATATACAAGCCAGGTAGACCCAGCTTCCCCTTCCACAAAGGGGCCAGTCCAGAAGTGGGTGTCACAGAGCACTCTTGGGGTACGTTTTCCTATGTAAGGGGGAGATGGGACTTCCAGAAGGTCAGGAAGACCAGTGTAGGCTCCCCAGCTGGAGTTCGCAGCCTACATCACGAGTGCTCAGCCAGGCATCTCTGCGCACGGGACAGCAAGACACAAACCCAAATTTCACAGCACGATGCACATCAGCAGTACAGCAGAGACTGTTCTGATCCCAGGCGGCCAAAGAAGGGCAGACTTCTGCCAGGGAGGAGGCAGACAGGCCCCGGGGGAAGTGTGAGAAGGTGGCCAGGTACTGGCCAGTTGGCCTGGCCTTGAAAGTGACCCTAGGCCCCTGCCCTCCTCAATGGCAGGGACACCAAAAGCCAGTGGAAGATGACGCAGATGGCTGAAGTGGTGGATTCGAGGCATGTCTGGCTCCTCTTTAGTTTGATGACTAGGAGGCAACTGAGGAACCAATGGGGAAACAGCCCCATATGGGTCCACACCCTTGGGATGCCTGCAGAAGCCGAAGCCCTGGAGCCGCCATTCTTTGAGGCCAGCTAAGGTCAGGGTCAATCTCTGGTTATGGTAAATGAGAGGAATAAAAGGGCTATACACACGGTAAGAGGCAGATTGGGGAGTCCACGTACCCCGATGATGGCGTTCAGCTCCGTCATGGTGACCTGCTTGGCGCGTTCCACTGCCTGCGCCACCTGCTGCTGGTGCTGGAGGGAAGAGGGCACGCGTTAGGTGCAGCCACCCTCCTGGACAGAGGAGGTGACGGGCTGCGCAGCACTGGCAGGGCCTCTCGGGGAGCCCCAGAGCAGACAGAGGAGCCCCACTGAACACAGGGCACAAGGAGGCGGGAGGGTGACGGGTGATTTCACTTTCTCTCTTAGACCTTTTTCAATGAGCATGTATTACTTTTGCAATTGAAACTTCCTTTTAAGTTCTAAAATAAAGATGGATGCCAACAGATGGCTATCAGTCAACCACGTGCACACAAATTTTTCCATGCAATTTGCATATGAGCTGGATATCAGATGATGTATGGATATCAGAATGATTACTAATTTTCTAAACACAGTAAGAGTACTACAATCATGAAGGAGGGTATCCCTATTTTTAGGAGATGCAGTTATAGTAGTTAGCGGTGAATTGTCAGGATATCTGCAATTTACACTCAAAGGATTTGGGGGAAAAGTGTGTCTACATACACCTTCTCCATATCTGTCTAAATAGAGAGAAAACAAAGTATGTTTCCAGATAAACAGATAAAGAAAGAAAAAGTAGCAAAATAAACCCTACACTATGGACTTTGGGTGATGATGTGTCGATGTAGATTCATCAGCTGCAATAAATGTACCTCTCTGGTGAAGATGCTGGTAGTCAGGGAGGATATGGGAAATCTCTGTGAACCTAAAACTGCTCTTAAAAAATAAACTTTATTTTAAAAAAAAGTTGTTGCATTAATTCCCTTTTGCTTTGAGGTAGTACCAATCACATACACAGCTGTCTCCCCTGCTGGGCCGCAAGCTCTGAGGCCACTGATTCTTATACATTAATTCCGTCATTTATTGGTCACCACTCTGTGTCCAAGACCCAGCAGTCTGTAAGGGAGCTGACATGGTCCCAGACACTGAGGGGGAGTAGAGGGCAGGGCCTGCCCTGGCTGGAGTGAAATCAGGGGACAGAAAGAAACCCTGCTAAAGTTAGCCTAGCTGTCTAGTCGACACCAGGGAGCTTCTTTGGAGACATTTCTCTCAGATCACCCACTGATCCAGCTGCTGCCCCAAATGGAGGTCCCTTGGAAGGTGTGCTTAGAAAGTGACACAACCATCTGGTTATGCTCTCGGCAAGGGCACTCTGTGGCAGGGACTGAGGTCCCCTTTCGGCTGGGAATGCTAGTTTGGATGGGAAACGGGCACCCACTGCCCACTGCTGGTTAGGTCGCATACCGGAACCCCCACCTCGGACTCAGGCAATGGCAGAGAAAACAATTCTACCAGAAGAAGGAGCAAACTGTCCCTCTGATGTGGCCCCCTGCCCCCAGACTGGCCAGAGAAGGCTCTGGAAATCTCCAGGTTGTCAGCTCAGTCCGTATGAATGGACAGGGCCTGGGGCTGGGGCTCAAGCTCCAGTGAGACCCCACCAGCCACTGGGCTGATTTGGAAAGAAAAGGAAGACATAATAAAAGAAGGTCTTACCTCCTGTGACAGGAAAGGCATGATCTGTGCTAAAATTGTGTTCAGTCTCTTCGCAATCTCTGTCTGTAAAGGGAAGAAGACCACGTGAAGCTGAGGCAAATAAATCAAGTCACCGAAATGTCACAGACAAGTGGAAATTCAAACTCCCCCCAAACCACAGCCCCTCTCCACTGGGCTCCATGCTTTCTGGCCTCAGTCCGCCTCCGGCCAGGAGGTTCTAGCTAAATCCACAGCATGAAAAAATCTCTTTCAACCCCCTTGCAGCCAGGTTGCCTACATTTTGGGGAGCTCCAGTTTCCATCAGAGGTGGAACATGTTTGGTTCAGAATACAGTTTGCATCCTCTGGATGGAATCCCTAATTAAAGCAAAATGAAATAAAAATCACCCCGAAAAACCCAGCAAAATCTACTGTAAGAGTGAAACACAGGTTAGTGAGGGAGGAACTGCTCTGCCTGCTGGTGCCCTGTACCAAGAGGACACGAGCCCTCAGACAAATGGGACAGAGCTGATTAATTGGCCCCTATGTGGCAAAGGGTTCCCTGCGGCTAGCCTCTCCCTCATCAAGACTAATCCCTCCCCCATCTATTTGCTACCAGGCTGAAATCCTACCATTAAGCCTCTTTCTTTCTTTTTTTTTTCTTTTCCATTGAGATAGGGCCTCACTGTCACCCAGGCTGGTGTGCAGTGGTGCGATATTTGGCTCACTCAGCCTTGACTTCCTGGGCTCATGATTCTCCTGCCTCAGCCTCCCAAGTATCTGGGACTACAGGTGCACCGCCATGCCCGGCTAATTTTTGTATTTTTGTAGAGACTGGGTTTCACCACATTGTCCAGGTTTTGAACTCTTGGGCTCAAGCGATCTGCTCACCTTAGCCTCCCAAAGTGCTGGGACTACAGGCATAAGTCAGCACACCCAGCCAACACTTCATTTTTTGGGATATAGCAATGCCTTGTCTAAGAAGCTGCTCAGACTGTAATTCATTAGATCCCTAATCCCTCACAGAAGTCAACCTTAGAAAGGTAGAGCAATTCTCTGCCTCATCTCCCAACACCCCAGAAAAGACTGCATTTAGAAAATCAACAGTTTCCAGCAGCATCCTATGCAAACTTTAGATCTCAGATCAAGAGTGGTGCTAAAGGGTTAACTGAGTCCAGACAGAAAGGCCTAGAACCACTGACAGCCGACTCTCAGGATTGCTTTTCTTATCTCACTCTGAATCTGAGCCTGCCAGGACTGAGGTCCCAAAGCTGGTTTCCACGCTTTCATCAGCACATAGCAATCTTTCAGAGACAAAACCATGACAACAGCCTTTAAAAATCTGTGATCATCTGCATGTCAAATGATGCTGGATGAGAAATCCTTGCGCACTTAAAATAAAAACAATGCCATCCGAAGGCGTACAAAGAGACCCTAGACTTCAGAAGAATTCCTGGGGCTAACATCCTCCACCCCCTCCACCCTTGGCCACTAAAGAGGACGCCTCTGGTTTGTGGACAGGCAGGCCATCAACTAAAGAGCCTTATGGGCTTTGCAGGCCTGCGTCCTGGGCTGCCGGCCACAGTGGCAGGGCTCGCCAACCTACAGAGCCTGTCCGCTACAGTGGGGGTCCTGGCGGGGAGAGGACGGGGGATCACTGCTGTCAGCTTTCTGCCTGGAACACTCTAGCTCCTCAGGAACAGAGTCGGTGTTTCCCAGCCGGCACCACTGTTGGCATTTGGGAACAGACAATTCATGTTGTGAAGGGCTGTCACTCATAAACCAGGCCAACTGTGTCAACAAGGGCCCCCACTTCCAAACTGCCCAGCTCAGACCCACTGGGACTCCACACTCACACATGTGTGGGGCACTCTAGCCAGGACACCATACATCAGGGGTTCTCAAACACCATGCTATTGACATGTGGGGTCAGGTAATTCACTGATGTGTGAAGCCGTTCTGTGCACTGCAGGGCCTTTAACAGCATCCCTGGCTTCTCCGCTCACTAAACACCCATCATTCATACACTTAAGGAACACAGGAGGATGACTAAATAATCATTATATAAATTATCTATCTAGTTAAGTGGGAAGAGCTCTCCCAAACAGAGTCCTTCCTCACTGTGCTTATTTTTCCCTCGCCTAAATCGACAGGTAGTAGAAATGGGGAATGAAGCGTAAAGGTCCAGCTTGGACAGGGCAAGAGTTCTGGAAACAAGCATAGGCTGCATCTCACTCCAAACCTGCACAGAGTGACACGTGCTCTCACCTGTGCGTTCATGTGCCAAATAAGAATCAAAAGATGGGTTAGAAACAAAAATAAACAAAAGAAACCAACCTTACTGTTTAGGAAGTTCACAGTTCCAAGGCCTGTTATCTTAAAGATAGAGCAGTGCCTGGCATACAGTAGGTGCTTCATAAATGTCTGGCCCAAAGAATAACATCACCAGCACCCCCACACTTGTTGAGACTTCACATTGCAGTGGCCCCTGGCTGCAGATCTGGGCCTGCCCCAGCGTGGGCAGCATCTGTGGGAGGGGTCGACGTGGATGGAGTGTTCACATACAACTGGCTGGTAGATGGCCAGTGGCCCAGGCCCTTCACCAACGGGACGGGGTGGCACCTGCAAGCCAGGCCAACTGTAAGTCACCTAGATGGGTCTCTGGCCACTGGCCCTCCCCATGGCCAGAAAGGCAGGGAGCAGGCTCAGAACATCCTCAGTCACTCTGGCCTCCTCGGCTATCTCTCACAGTCGCTTTGGGGGAAGGGGGCAGGGTGATTATAACAGGGTTCTGGCTGTGGCCTCCTTCCACTGGCAAACAGTCAAGGGTCAGGGTCTTGGGAGTTGACCAGAAAAAAAAAAAAAAAAAGTAGCTGACCTTCCCCTTCCCCACACCCTTCAGCAAACACGTGGCCAAAGGCTTCCCACAGACAGGATCTTCCCATAGGGCTGGTCTGGAGCACCGCCCACTCTAGTTATGAGGACAAGGGATCTCCTAGGCTTTATGTAGCCATCCCAGCCACCAGGTGACCACAGCTGGATGGCTCAGGGCAAGTTCCAACACCACAATCAAGCATCAACTGAGGGTCATCGCAACAACGCCACACAGATACAGAAACTTCCAGAAGCCTGGGGTAGTGACGTTCAGGCTGTCTTTCCTGAGGCCCACGTTCGATGAAGAGAGGCCTCTCTGCATGGCAGGAAGGCCTTTGGCACATCACAAAACAGAACTGTGTAGGGTTGAGGCAGGCAGAGGGGAGGGGCTGGGTTTCCACTGGGAGAACCTCCTGGTTCAAAGTAAAAGTTCTCCCAACTGAAACCCAGCCCCTCCCCTGGGGAAGGGGTATGGAGCAAGCCCTTCCCATCTCTCCCAGCTGTCACTGTGCCATCATCTGCTAGTACCCTCTTGCAGAGGGTCTCCCCACAAAGTGGAAGCAGGGGCTGGGCCTCCCTCATCTCTACACAGCCTGCCCAACCCTGAGGATGGGCTCCGTGCACTCTGCAGAGTTGAAGCATGAACAGGAAAGCTTTTCACTCAATATTTTTAAGAAATGTTTACTTTTCGGAGGGTGGCGCTGGGGAGGGGAAGTTCCTGGAAGTGGAAAGTTGGCATAACAGAAACGCTCCTAACAGTAATGACCGCTGACATCCACCCGCCCAATCACCACGTGTGCATCCGCAATGATCCCACAGAAAAGGCACTTAACACCTCCATTTCTCAGACGGGGAAACTGATGCCTAGCCACGAAGTGGCTTCACTAAACGACTTCCTACCAAGAAGCCAAATTCTGACATTTCCAGAGAGCTTAGAGAAATATTTTTGAAAGAAAAACCACCATTAGGGTTAATAATTGACAGCACTTCTGATTAGAACAGCTGTTAAAACAGCACTGGCTACAACTCAAACAAGCTCTGAACATCAGTTCCAAAAAAGGAAAAAAAAAAAAAAATCAAGACGTGTAACCTCAACAATTGGGACAGGTCACAAATCACAAACTGGAACTCAATCACACGCTGGAAGGTTGCTCCTTTTGATAACTCAGCACAATCTGTTGTTATCAACAAGGCGCTGCGGCTCCCAGAGGCCAGCCTCCAGCCTCCCCTCCGTCTCGGTCTCGGAAAGCCACTGCTTTTGAGCCAGGTCTTCAGAAGCGAACCTGAGAGGTGGTGGGAGGTGGGAAGGCGGCTGCCTTTGGAAAGCACTTTGGAAAAGGTGTTCGGGGAGGCTGGTGCCGCCTTTGAAAGTTTCTTTTCAAGTATGGTTCAAAGCAGGCGGCTTTGTTCGTGGAAAAACATCGTGCCTGAGAAGGAACTAATCTACCAGATAACAGGCAGAGAAGCAGTTCAGAGACGCGGGCACAGAGGTCCCGCTACATTCAGAATCTGCACTACCAACTGGGCGCTGGGAGTAACATCTGCCCTGCAACTCTGTGGAGATTGTTAGGCAAATAAATGACAGAACACAAGATAGTGGGGGGCAAGTGTAATTTCCCAAAGAGCAATCTGTTCCGTGCGCCTTAGCAGCTCCCATTTGCATGATCATCTCCTCATTAAAGCAGGACCTCTGAACATCTTGCTGTAAACCGAGGCTGCTTGAGCATTCTAAAAGTTGATTTCTCCAAGCACACTCTAGTATTCACGTTGGCCGCTGCTTCAGGCCATCCTTGGCCCTTGACCCAAGACACTAACTTAAGGGAGACGGAGCCTGCTCTTGATCCGCACCCCCCAGCAAGCTCCTGCTCCTGGGCTTTCAGGACCCAGCTGGACCTTGCGTTTATTTTTGATTTAGGTGACTGTGTTCAACGCACCATTGAGTGCTACTTCCATCTGTTAGTTTTAAACTGCCCTGTCCTGTGTACCTGTGGACTCCGAATGCACAATTCCTTTTAACCTCAGCCAAACGAAGACAAAAGAAAACTGCCCCTTTCAAGAGCATGTTCTGCTCCAATGTTATGCAGAAATGACCTGGTTTTACATCTAACTCTACCCCCATCTAGCTGTGGGCATTAATTTTATTGTCTGCAAAATGAAGGAATGAACTAGATCACTTATAAGATCCAGGAGCCCTCGTTTAGAATTTTAGAG